AGAGGGGGAGTGAGAGTTTGTGTGAGTGAGGAGGGCGAGAGAGAATATTACACAATATCTCTGCTTGAACACATACATGCAATACATGTTACATGGAGCAACACGTTTGTCAACGCCAGGTTGTTCCTCAGGGTATGGCAAGTTAAATTGACAAAGAGCAGTGCGCACTTAATAATGTTCTTAACATCATTTGGGAGATTCTGTTTTCAGAGAATGACATTTAGCATAAAATCAGCCCTGGAGCTATTCCAGAAAAAAAATAGCACAAATACTGGAAGGAATACCAGATGTAATAAATTACATATATGACATATTAATATTCGAAAGGGCAAGAGCTGAATACAAACAATGTCTAGAAAAAAAATTAAAAAGTGCTTAAATGAAACTGCAAAGTTAAATGGAGAAAATTTAAAAATGGGAGTGACAGAGGTCAAATATAGAGGCAATATAATTACACATAAAGGGTTAAAAATAGATCCAAAGAAGGTTGAAACAAAGATGTGAGACACCTCAGGGCAGGAGAAGCGTTAAAAGACTAATAGGAATGGTAAACTGGTTATCCCATCTTATACCAAATGTGACCAGGAATATCGGACCAATAAGGGAATTGGTAAAGGCAGATAGGGAATTTATATGAGAAAAAAGCACAGCAGCCGGTGAGGGAGCAGACACATCCATTCGGCTGTTACAAAAGCCCGTTTTAAAATTTTAAGGTATAAATGCACCAGTAAAGATATCAGTTGATACAAACAAATCAGGAAGAGCAGGGAATTTTTGCATTTTTTTTCTTAGCATTTTTCAGGGGGGAAGGGGGGTGGCGGGGGTGGGGAGGTTTGCTATAAAAATGTCGAGTGAAATAAAATTTCAAGTAGTTTTAATCTAAATGATGAGTAAAATTACACTTTCTGCAGAATTACACGTCATTTTTTGCATTTTTTGTGCTTTTTCTCGTATTTTTTTCTCATTTTTTTACTGAGAAAAAAATACACAAGAAAAAGCAAAAACAATAACTAATTAGCAGCACAGTTATGTAATGTTCAATCGACCTTTAAATTGCCTTCAAGTCGGGGAACAATGCAAACCATGAAGGGTCTGCTGCAATGTAATGAGGAATGTTACAGTGAGGAATGGTGCAGTGTAATGAGGAATGGTGCAGTGTAACAAAAATAATAATCATCCTTGCAATTAATATAACATACTGTGCAGTGCTTTAAAGGAGGATGTCCTTAAGGATATTATGTTCAGTGTAGTGACTGTATACTTGTTCTCCTGATTTGCAAGTAAATGCTATCAACTGAACCATATTTTAGCCTGTGAAGCACTTTGAAACGTCTCGATGACATGAAAAGGTGCTACATCAAATGCCACGATTATTATTGTTACTATTTATTATAAGGATCATTAAGATTTTTATGTTCTTCTCCTGGCCAATTCTGTTAAGCGGTGATTTTCTGATCTTTTAGTTGGTAGCATCCTCTTGCATTTGATATAGTTCTTTTCAAATTAGGAGAGTATCTCAAAGCACTTCACAGGATTTATTCTCAAGCATTGTGTATTCTAAAGACTGTGTATTTTGTTGGCAAACACTACAGCCTATTGCACAGAATATTGTCCCCAAAACAGCCATGGACTGAATGACCAATTTTATCTGCATAATTGTTGGCAGCAGCAGAAATTCCTTCTCTTTTCAAATAGTGCCATGGGATCTTTACATCCACCTGAACAAATGTTTCAGTTTAACATCTTATCCGAAGGACAGCCCCAATGCAGCACTGTGGGACTATCAGCCACTTGAGTTCCATACCCCACGACTTTCTGACTCAGGGGCAAAGGTGTTACCAACTGAGCCAGGCTGACATTGTCCGTGGAATCATATTTGAAGGAAAAAGGTAACAATTTGACAGAGATAATGAAAATTAGTATAACATTCACAATAACACAAAATAATTAGAAAAACATCAAACAAATTTGAATAAAATAAATATTTAATACATTTAATATACATAGCCGAAATTACTATTGGACAACCGTCTGCATTCTTATAGGTCCCTTAATAAAATTGGTTGTTCATTTTTTTTGTCAACTGGGTGTCTATCATGTAAAAATCTATCACCATGCTTAAGAGTATCCAATAAGATACAGTTCCATGCGTGCCACATGGAAATTCCCGTGACTCTCCGTGCAGGGACACACTTTGTTGACCTAATCCAGCATTGGGTCTAAATTGGCAAGAGTCAAGGCTTGGGGGCCGGAGTGTGCATTTGAGTACTGCTGCAGTACTCGAGAAGGATGAGATCAAATGAGTACCAAATAAAAGTAAAACTTGCCATTGAAAGCACCATAGCAAGCTGTATCCCCAGTTTGTTGCCTCCAAGTCCTGCCGATGAGTCTGTCATCAGCAATGCCCTGGACTATTGCCAACCTGCTTGGCTGAGGAGCTGGAATACCAAGATTGCAAAAGAAGGCTGGCTCGATCCTGACAATCTATTAACATTACCATACACATCATCTTGGAGCCAATTCAGCTCCAATGAGGCTCGACCTCCCTCGCAGGAGAACATGTTCCAGTATCTAAAATTACAATTGTGTCCTTACAATTTTATTTTAAAATTTAAGTTGAAAGAATTGGGCATTTTTTAAGGAATTGTCACTGTGGGGAGTGAACTCAAAGGGGCACTTTTATCCACATCCAGAAACATTACAAACAGATTTCTGCAGATGAAGCAATATTTCATATATGTTCCAGACCTTAGAATGATTAAAATAATTGGTTCCTCTATCCTGACCAGGTTGCCCCACTGTCTCCATGTCTGCGGGCTGACTATATGCCCCCACTTCTATTTCCTGCCCCTTCACGACTCTCACTCGGCTTTATTCCCCTACTGCTCTCCTCACCTCTCTCTCCTGGACCTCCCACACCTTCCCACTGCCCCAGCCTGGGCACGTCCCAAAGCAGCCGCCCCAACTGCCCCATCTCTCACCTTCTCCGTAAGGCCAGCCTCCCCCATCCCGTCTCCAACAGTTAAACCCCCCCTTCCCTCATCCACAACCTTCCCAGCTCTCCTCCCTACTTATACTCAACAGTCGTTTCCCCCCACAATCTACAACCGCCAACCCTACACCCTCCCCCGCCAGTTCCCCTATTTGCATTCCTCTCCAAAATGTCCGCTCCCTCTCAAACAAAGCTGTCACAATCCAATCCACGACCTCATCCTGGATGAGCACATCGATATTCTTGACCCCACCCTGCTCATCGAAGCTTCCCATCTGGCTACAACTTCTTCCTCACCCCAACCAAAGTGGTGGTGGGTGGTTCTTATCTCCCAAACCTCTCTTGATTTATCTCCCTGTTCCTCTGGCTCCTTCCCCTCCTTTGAGCACCTCACCCTGTACCATCCCTACCTTCTTTCGTTCAAAATCTTCCTCACCTACTGCTCCCACAAATTCCTGGCTCTTTCCTTTCGGACATCTTCTCCCTCCTCTCATCCCTCTGTGTCTCCAATGAACTCCTGCTTCAACCTTCACCTAAACTCCTCCTGCCCCATCCTCCATGATTTTGCTGCCCACCTCTCCTCCCTAAACCTCACCCTCCACATACACTCCCCCACCCACAACAATGGCCACCCCTTCAACTACGTTGTTACCCATCTGCTCGAGCGCAGATGGCGGAAAACTGTAGGCTCGAGCATCTCCACAGCTACTGCCGTTCTTTGAATCGTGCAAAAATGGCCTTCTACTCCAACATCATCTTGGAGGCTAAACACAACCCAAAAATCCTTTTTTCCACCACCCACTACCTTCTCCGTGCCCCCCCTCAGGCCTCCTCAATCTTCACATCAAATGCCAAGTGCGAGGAGGTCATGGACTTTTCATCTAAAATACATAACATCCACCAGGCAGCCTCATCCACCTGCCTCTTGTCACCCACCACCACCCCATCTCTGTCCCCCTCACCTTCCCCATCATCTGCTCCTAGCACCACCCCCATCCTACATTCCTTCCTCCCCATCTCTCCCTCCTTCCTCTCACCCACCATCACCTCCATCAAACCCACCATCTGCTGCTCCACCCCCTCCCCACCAACTTGCTGGTCACCCAGCTCCCCCTCCTCTGCCCACTACTGGCTGATGTCATCAACCAGTCCCTTTCCTCTGGATCAGTCCCTGCCCCCCTCAAAACGGCTGTCATCACCCCTCTCCTCAAACCCCCCCCCCCGGATCCCTCAAACCCCAGCCACTATCGCCCCATTTCTAACCTGCCCTTCCTCGCAAAAGTTCTAGAACGCGTTGTTGCCAACCAACTCCGCGCACACTTCTCCTCCCACTCCCTCTTCGAACCCCTCCAGTCCGGTTTCCGCCCACAGTACAGAGACTGCTCTTGTGAAAGTCACAATCGACATCCTCTCTATCTGTGACCAGGGCTCCCTCTGCCTCCTTGTCCTCCTGGACCTCTCCGCCGCGTTCGACACAGTCGATCCGACCATCCTCCTCCACCGCCTTTCCTCCGTCATCCACCTCAGTGGGACCTCACTCACCTGGTTCGAGTCCTACTTCACAAACCGCCAGCAGTACATCTGCACAAACGGCTTCTCCTCCCGCTCTCACCCGGTCACCTGTGGGGTACCCCAAGGATCTATCCTTGGCCCCCTCCTCTTTCTGATCTACATGTTCCCTCGGGATGTCATCCGCAGACATGGGGTACACTTCCTCTGCCCCCTGCTGGCTGACAGTCAACCAGTCCATCTTTGCATCTTTGCATAATAATAATAATAATCAAGGTAATGGCGATTTCATTGGCAGTCGCCAAGTGGTCACTATTTAGATGGTGATGGTGTTGAATCTGTAGCGAGTCCTCTCATGATTAGTCACTTTGACGAGTGTTGTCAACCAGTCCATTGCTCTATTCAAAGAGCCAGCACAAACTCGATGGATCGAATGGCCTCTTTTTGTGCTGTACTATTCTATGATTCTATGATCTCCACAGGTTCCGTCGCACTCCCCCTCAAAACTGCTGTCATCACTTCCCTCCCCAACAAACCTACCCTCGATCCCTCGAAGCTTGCTAACTACCAGCCCATTTCCAACTTGCCTTTCCTTGCTAAAGTTCTGGAATGTGTTGTTGCAAATCAACTTTGCTCACACCTCTCCGTCCACTCCCTACTCGAGCCCCTCCAGTCTGAGTCCACCCTGTCCACAGCGCTCGTCAAAGTGACTAATCACGAGAGGACTCGCTACAGATTCGACACCACCACCATCTAAATAGTGACCACTTGACGACTACTATTTAAATCGCCGTTACCTTGATTATAATTATTATTATTATTATTATTATTATGCAAAAGCAATTTACTGGCGGGGAATTTTGAAACTACTCCTGGGGAATTCCTCAGACCTGGTGGGCCACTGTCTATGTTAAAAATGACCTGCTAAAGAGTGTCTTCGTTGATGATTGCTAATCCAGGCATATAATCGCTCATTGAGCATTGACCATGACAATAATCAGAATGCCTCACAGTGAAAGAACCAGCCTAGATCTGGGTCATATAATGATAGCAAATCAATGGTCAGACTACTTTCAGATACGGCAAGGCGGCAATATAAGAAGGTATTGGTTCATGGTTGCAAAGGGCAATTTCAGGATGACAGGAAATAATTCTTTAACTGCAGTGTAATTAATGATTTGGAACAGATTATTACCAAGAAAGGTGATTGAGGCCAGTTCATTTGAGTAATTTAAGGAACAGCTTAATGCTATAATGGGATGCCAGCATTATTCTGGAAGGATATGATCAATTGAGCCAAAGGGACTTCTTCATTCTAACCTCGTTTGTAATCTTGTATGTCTGGCGAGTGCCCAGACTCTGGTCACATGATCAAGTTGCAGTGTGAGAAAAGATCCGTCTGATTGTTGGAAGATGAACTGCCCGGGAATGGGATGGGTGCTGTCGTGAGGCCTCATTCTTTGGGCATTTTCCTGCAGAATTCCACATCACAGTTTGGTGGCTATAATGAAAATTTCAGGATTGTTTTGTTTGAATTTAACACCATCAAGCAAAGTGACAGGTCCTGCTCTCCTTTGGTTTAGTTTCTGAAATTCTGCAGTTATTTCAAGGATTGATTTCCCTTTGGTTTCTGGCAGGATAATGAACACATACACCGCGATGACAAGGCAGTCTCCCAGGAATATCAGGAAACAGAATGGGCCCAGTCCCTCCTATGAGACAGAGAGTATATTATTAGCCAAGTTACAAAGATTTACAAAGAATGTACAGCTCAGAAATAGGGCACTTGGCCGAACTAAACACAACAATGTTTATTCTCCACGAATCTTCACCTTCCTTACTTCCCCCAATTCCCTTTTCCCTCATGTGAAGGTCTAACTTCCTGTTAAATGCATCTATACTATGTGATTCAACTACTGCTTCAGGCAGCGAGCTCCACAATCTCACCACCCTATGCGTGAAGTGTTACCTCCTCAATTCTCTTTCAGATTCCCCTAGTCACTGTCTTATACTTGTTACACTGTCCTGAACTAATGGGAGCAGCCTATTTATGCAACATATTGAATTTCTATTTAATTTTAAACACCTCTATAAGACACTCCGAAATGTGTAAAAAAGGCTAACTTATCAATTCTATACTAATAGCAGTAACCTGCCAGCCCTGTAATCATTTTAGTAAGCTTTCCATTGCTGCTGCTACATCCTTCTTATAAGCCTGGTGACCCGAATTGGACACAGTACTCCAAATATGGTCTCACCAAGGTTTTATACAAATTACAATACAATACTATACATTTTTACGTTTATGTAGTACCTTTAACCTTTCAATGGGTAAATGTCCCAGAAGTTAAAGAAATAATGTGTAGTGTTCAAAGACAGGTTACAAAAGTTACATTTGATTTAGCGTTCTATCACATCATTACATCTCAAAGCACCTCACAGAATGTTTCTGTGAGGTATAGTGACTGTATTTGTAGATAAACATAGTAGTCAATTTGTAAACAGCAATGTCCCAGTTACAGCCATGAAGTGATGGACCACTTTTTTTGTCTGGGGGATTGTTGGCCAAAGCATCAGGAGAAACTCCTTCCAAATAGTGCCAGGACATCTTTAACACCCACTTGGTCAGGCAGACAGAATCTCAGTTTAAAGACTTATCCATCTCCAATTGTATATTGGAGTGGGGGACTCCACTGTGTGGATATTGTACAGGACTCGACACAGTGGTTAGAGCACTCGACTCGCAAGCAGAGAACTGGGTTCGATACCCACTAGGGCAAAATGTTAGGCAAGATTCCTTACTCCACACGCCTCTGTTTACCAGCAGTAACTAGGAACCCGGAAGTTAGTTGATTGGCAGGCCGCTTTTCTAGAGGTAATAATAATTCCTTCAAAAAAAATAATAAATTGATCACTTCAAACCACGACAGTTTGTGGGACACTGCTGTGCGCAATTGGCTGCTGTGTTTCGCCCACAAAATACACAGTCAAATCACTCTGCAGTATATCCTGTGAAGCGCTTTGAGACATCTCAAAGACATGATAAGGCACTATATAAAATGCAAGAAATGTTCTTATTATTATCACAACACTTCTCCAGCATCGCTGTATCAGTCCCCTAGTCTATAAGCTCAATGTCGCAAAATGGGGCGAGAACCTTCTCACTCAGAGGCAAGAGTGCGACCAACTGAGCCAGGTCAAGCCCATTTCTAATCCTTTCAGGATACCAACCCTATCTTTGAGGTAAATACAGTGTCCTAATCATTTCCACTTATCAATTTTATATTCCGCTTATTATTCATACCCCATATCCCTCCAATTTTCTTTGACTCCTTTCCACAGTGCACTAAGCTCATCCAATTGCCCTGTTTCCCAGATATTGAAAGCAATTCACACAAACCCACGTTTCTGACTGACCATGTTACTTCTTTATGATGTTTCTATAATTTACAAATTTACTTACGACAATGAATGGGAAAACCATTCCCATGACAAAGAGGCCCAGCCAGTGGAAAGTGCCATTTATCGCGTATGCAACTGGACGACAGGACTGAGTGAAGATTTCAAACGGTATAATGGCAGTAACACCAGCTAGAAAAAGAATAAGACATTATTTATTTTACTCCAGACTTCCCAGATAGATTTAATAATTGCAATCAATAGAATTAAAGTAACAGATTTAGACTCTATTGATGGAATCAGATATCTGTTTTGCCAGATAGTTAACATAATATGGTAATCTGCTGTGTGTATGAATGTCAGTCACTTAACAAATAGCTGTTAAGAGAAAGATGTCCTTTGTGCTTCAGGTAATTCCAATTCCAGAAGCAGTCAAATGCTCAGTATTTTAAAGTTTTCTTTAGTTTGGTTGACCAACCTTTCCCAACACCAGTGTTGTAAGTGTTACACAGCCCAAAGTCATGACATGACCTGTTTGGTTCCAGTCTGCACTATAGGTTAACCCTGGAGTATCTGGTAACAAGTGAAGAGACATTGGATTCAACCCTGGAATATGTAGGGACTATCATCCTTGGGACGGAGGAGTCTCCTTAGAACTGAACTGGCTCCAAGGTGATACGTCTGGCAATGGAATGTTGGATTTAGGGAAAAGATGGAATGGATGATGGCAGGAAGGTGGGGGCAGATTGTGTAAGCAAATTTAACAGAGAATTGGATAGCTATATAGCAACTAATTCAGTCAAGGGGATTGAAAATTAAATAATGTATGAAATTTGTTTCACATTAGGACGTGACAGATGTCTCCATATCTTTTCCAATTCTGTCCATTTCCTATTTTCCTATTATTTGGGTTAAAAGATTTTGGAGAATGGGAAAATAACACAAAACCGAAAGCAAAGATACGAATCACATAACAATGAATTACTGTAATCCAACACACCAGGGCCCATTCCATAGCTGAAGATATAAGCAAAGATGAGGAATATGCTGCAGTACGGCATCCAGGTAAAGCGAGCCTGAGTGAGGGCAAATTCACAATCAGCCAACACAAGTACAAGCCTGAGGTACAGGCACCGAGACACGCCAATACCGTCAGGGTGTCATCAACACGCCAACATAGCCAGCTAACCCACCCCCCCCCCCACACACACACACACACACACACACACACACAACTCCCCCCCCACCCCACCCGCACACACACACACACACACACACACAACTCCCCCCCACCCCACCCGCACACACACACACAACTCCCCCCCCCCACACACACACACACACAACTCCCCCCCCACCCCACCCGCACACACACAACTCCCCCCCCACCCCCACCCCACACACACACACACAACTCCCCCACACACACACACACACACACACACACAACTCCCCCCCCACCCCACCCGCACACACACACACACACACACACACACACACAACTCCCCCCCCACCCCACCCCACACACACACAACTCCCCCCACCCCACCCGCACACACACACAACTCCCCCCCCACCCCACCCGCACACACACACACACAACTCCCCCCACACACACACAACTCCCCCCACACACACACACACACACACAACTCCCACCTCCCCCCCCCACACACACACACACACACAACTCCCCCCCCCACACACACACACAACTCCCCCCCCCCCCCCCCACACACACACACAACTCCCCACCCCCCCACACACACACAACTCCCCCCCACACACACAACTCCCCCACACACACACAACTCCCCCCCACACACAAAACTCCCCCCACACACACACACAACTCCCCCCCCCCCCCCCCCCCCCCCCCCCACACACACATCCCGTGAATATTAAAACTGAACAGGGAATAACAGGCTGTGTATTTTTAATTAGAAACCTTTTATAATGTAAGACACCTGAGCTTTTCTTTTTCAAAAATTCCAATTAAAATGTTGTGTATAATTCACTCCCAGTGCCGCATTATTTATATATAAACCATCCTAACCTACAATTAGATTCCAGCTTGTAACCTACCAAATATCTGTTATTCTATATAATAATAATAATCTTTGCATTTGACACAGCACCTTGTTACATCTTCGAGACGTCTCAAAGCGCTTCACAGAATATAGTGTAAAGTGAATTGACTGTATATTTGTGGGCGAAACACTGCAGCCAATTGTGCACAGAAATGTCCCACAAACAGTCGTGGTTTGAAGTGACCAATTTATTATTATTTTTTTGAGGGAAAAAAACCAATAATAAATTGTTCACTTCAATCTATTAATCAGATTTTGAACTCTTAGCCCATTGCCCTCTCCCTCACCAGGTTCTGTCAGCTCAACCTGCTCCCCATCCCCCAGCAAATCAAGTTCAAAATCTTCATTCTCACCTTTATTCCATGACATATCGGACCTCACCCTCCCTCTGTGACCTGCCACTCCCTTCACTCAGTGATCACTGCCCTGGCTCTGCCTATCATTTTAGCCCCTTTCTCTGGACCTCTATCCTGGTGTCCTTCTGACCTGCTCCCTCTCTCTCACCCTATTCAAGGCCCATCTCAAAATGCATCTCTTTGATTGCACTTTCAGTCATATTTCCCCTCCCCACTCCTTCAGGTTCCACCCCGAGCTCAGGTGCCCAGCCAGCAGTGTTAAGTGCTTTAATGTGAAAGGGGCTCTATTAATGAAAATTGGAATTGTTTGGATTGCCTTCCCTGTGTAGTGTGTACCATATTTAGTGCAAACCATGGCTGCTTGCAGAGTCTTACTTGCAAATGTCTGCAAATTGTCTACTTCACTTGACATTAATCAGCTTTGGTTGTTTGGTATAATAAAGCAAATTAAAAATGGAAAGTGTTCTTTACCTGCAGAGGGAGAGTGACACACAAGAGGGTTGCCCACACGGTCATCATTCCGTATCCTTTCCAAAGTAATGCTTTCCTGCCATCTCGTTCTATAAAGAATCCCTGTTCAGTTAAAAACACAAGCGATTTTCTCATTAATCAAGCATACCTACATACCTGCAGATTTTGCGTTGTCAGGTGGGCCTTCAGTCACTCTGCCCCACCCTCTGGAACTCTATCCCGCAGTCCCTCTACCTCGCCCCTTCCCTTGCCTCCTTCAAGACCCATCTCAAAACCCTCCGCTTCGACCGTGCCTTCGGTCACCCTCCTTTCCCCCCTGCCCTCCACCCTCCCTGATTCCGACTCCCAGCTTGGGTCCAAAACACTGATGGTCCAGTGCCTTGGGAAGCACTCCCAATGTGACAGGCGCTATACACGTAATTTTGTTGTTGTTGCTACGCCATAGGCCTCCAGGTTGCTTCCATGTACTTACACATGTGAGTGAGGTGAAAAGGAGTGTTCCACCTGCTCCAAGTACCACATATGGGATTGAATATGATGGAATTCCCGCTTCTTGGAAAACCTCAGAGGCATAGAAATAAATCTGACAAAAAATAAATAATAATAATAATCCTTGCATTTGATATAGCGCTTTCCACATCTTCTGGACGTCTCAAAGCGCTTCACAGAATATACTGTAAAGTGAATTGACTGGGATAAAATGGAACAGAAATCTTATCTTATTTCAATAGAATAGAAATAGTTCACATTCACTGTAATCTTTACTCTTTCTCTCTACTTACCAATCTTACTGCACCAAGATATTTATGTAGACAGACAAACATGAGATTGATTTCAAATGTGAAGTGAAGTTACACATGATAGAAACTGTGAGCATTTCATTATTTGGGAAAATATCTTTGCTGGATAGGTTAATCCTTGTTTTAAGCATCAAGAGCATTTCTATAAAAAAGCACTTTCAACTGCATTAGATTAGTAACATTCAAATTCAGGCCAAGTTGTCTTCAATGCTATCAACAACAATTTACATTTACATAGCACCCCTCACGCAGGGCAGCGTCCCAGAGCGCTTGACAGTGGCGGAGCACAATGCCGACCTGAGGAGAGGAGGAGGTGACTGTAGGCACGGTTGAAGAGGAAGGTCTTCAGGCGTGATTGGAAGGAAGGGACCAGGTGGAGGGCTAGAGGAAGAGCGTTCCAGAGTTTGGGGAGGAGTGGCTGAAAGCGTGGCCATCAATGGTGGAATGGAGGGCATGAGGGAAATGAAGGAGGCCGGAGCCAGTCGAGCAGTGAGGTAGGGAGGTTCCAGGGCATGAAGGGATTTGAAAATGAGTAATAATTATATAATGAATATAATTAATTATTCCTATTTAAATCTGATTTGAATCCAAACTGAAAACTTCAGTCCCTGCCTCTGTCAAAGTATTTGCAATGGGATACATTTTCCATCAAAATTGGCCCGAATGCAGGAGAAAGGGAATTTGTAAATGATCTGTTTTATATTCCTGTAACTTTCAAAGCTGAATGAGCAACTAGTGACTGTCCTCCAGGGGAGGGGGGCTAGAGTTGGTAAGAGGGGTCTGAACTAGCTCTAAAGTGTCATGCTTGGCAACAGAATGTTGGAATCGATCAACCCTCTTGTGAGAGTCTTGGTAGACTCTTTCCGGAGCCTAGAGAATCTGCAGTATTTTAGAGCACTGCTGATGATAAAAAAGCTAGCTGGCTCATGCGCAGGACTTTGAGGGGCAGTCCAGTCACTGGGAGCAGACATTTTTCCTCCTCAGCTCCTATAAGCTGAAAACCTATGGGTTGTCCTAGCTGAACAAGCAGCAAGATACTGCTGTCAATGACAAACTATATGGCTTTAGCTGGTTAAACTCCAGCAATACTTCAATCCACAATCTGAGGTCCCCAGGTGTTAACTCTTGCCAACCTGAACCTGGAATTAAGTAAGCAAGGTCCATCTCTGGAGAGACAAATTGCACATTCCATTCCTGAAATAGGGCCATTTCCTATGTGTAGGTAGATGGTCTACCTATGTGTAACTCTCAGTCTCACTATCTCACACCGCAGGCCGCCGAAATCCTCATACACGCATTCATTACATCCAGGCTTGACTATGCAAACTCATTGCTTGTCGGCCTCCCCAACTCCTCCCTACACAGGCTGCAGATCATCCAGAACACTGCAGCCCGCTCCCCTGCACCAGGCTCTGTGACCCTATCACCCCCATCCTCGCCCGACTCCACCGGCTTCCCATCACACAGAGGATACAGTTCAAGATCCTGGTCCTCACCTTCAAAGCCCTCCATGGCCTTGCGCTCCCTACCTCTGTGACCTTCTAACCCCCAACAATCCTGCCCGCTCCCTCCGCTCAGCGGGCTCTGTCCTGCTTCATGTCCCCCGTCTCGCTTGCCCCACCAATGGCGGGCGGGCCTTCTGCCACTCTGCCCCCATCCACTGGAACTCTATCCCACAGTCCCTCTGCCTCGCCCCCTCCCTCGCCACCTTCAAGATCCATCTCAAGACCCTCCTCTTTGATCGTGCCTTCGATCACCCTCTTTCCCCCCTGCTCTCCACCCTTCCCGACCCCAACCCCAGGAACACTGACTGTCCAGCACCTTGGAATGTCCTCCCAACGTGAAAGACGCTATACACATGTAATTTTGTTGTTGTTGGTTTAAATACTCTTGAGCATGGTGATAAGTTTGCACATGTGTCAGATACCCGACCGACTAAAACAATTCAATGCTGAGCTTGACTGATCTACAGAATTAGTGAAATACAGAGGTGTACAGATACTGCAGACAGTCCTGGCTGAGTTCTTGTCTGATCTTTACACAATGATACTTACAGCATTGATACCACACAGCTGCATTGCAACAGTGACCATGACATTTGTGATGAGTTGCCACCGAATTGACCTGTCTCTGAACATCTCCCGGGCTGTTCTAGCACCTTCTCCCTTTATTACCGCTTGCTCTGCCTCCATGTCCGCAATCTCCTCACTGAAGTCACCTTTCCCCCAGAGCCTTTGTAATGCTGTTTAAAGGAAACACAGTGAAGCCGGTGACTGGGGAGACAATAGGCAAAATAATTCAGATGCTGGAAATAATAATAATAATCCTTACATTTCATAGCGCCTTATCACGTCTTTGAGACGTCTCAAAGCGCTTCACACTGTAAAGTGAATTGACTGTATATTTTGTGGGCGAAACGTGGCAACCAATTGTGCACAGTTAGCCAGTCAGCAGCACGAGAGCGAGGGGGGGCAAGGGGCGAGGGGTGGGGCGAGGGGCGGGGTGAGGGGTGAGGGGCGGGGCGAGGGGCAGGGTGAGGGGTGAGGGGCAGGATGAGGGGTGGGGCGAGGGGTAGGCAAGGGGTAAGCGAGGGACGAGGGGTAGGGCGAGGGGCAAGGGGTAGGGCGAGGGGCAGGGCGAGGGGTAGGGTGAGGGGTAGGGCGAGGGTAGGGCGAGGGGCGAGGCGAGGGGTAGGGTGAGGGGCGAGGAGTAGGACGAGGGCAAGGGGTAGAGCGAGGGGCGAGGAGCGGGGCGAGGGGAGCAGCAGGAGCAGAGGATAAAAACAGTGAGAAAATTAAAAAGTGACGTCAGAGCAACGTCAGTATCAACACCAACTACAGACTGACAGTAACTACTATCAACACATCACACACCACAAACTTAACTTGATCGACTTACCTTTATTGGATCAACTTGATTAAATTAAAACTTAATTCACTTAACCTAATTAACTTAATTTAATTAACTTAAGTTAACTAACTGACTAACTCAAGTTGGAAGAGGTGACAATGCCGAGGCAGGTGTTATGTGAGGAGTGTGCCATGTGGGAGCTGACGGAGGGCAGTCTGACCCCGGGCGACCACATCTGCAGAAGATGTCTGCAACTGAGGCAGCTCCAGCTCAGAGTGTCAGAGTGGCGGAGCTGGAGTCCGAGGTGCAGACACTGCGGAGTATCAGAGACAGTGAGTGCTTCCTGGATAGCGACATCCTGGAGCCAGTCACTCCCCTGAGGGAATATATGGTCAACATTGGTTATGGTCAGAATAGGTCAATGGACAGTCAGGAGGTCGGGGGGACAACGGGAAGAGTGGTAGTAAATCCGGCATTAACCTTGAACAACAGATATGAGATCCTTGGAACTTGTATCGACAAGGAAGCCGGTGAGGGGGTAGGAAAAACTACCTCTAACACTGGGGCAAAAGAGCGGATGGTTGTCGTCATTGGGGACGAGACTATTAGACAGACAGACACAATCATCTGCAACACCAACCAGAAGACCCGAAGGCTTTGCTGCCTCCCTGGGGCCAGGGTGAAGGATGTCTCGGCAGGGCTAGAGGGTAATTTAAAATATGAAGGCAAGGATCCGTTGGTGGTACTTCACATAGGTACCAATGACATCGATAGAGTTGGCCAAGATGACTTGAGAAGGGAACTTGAAGAGCTGGGGTCCAAATTGAAGTCAAGATCATCGAAGGTGGTGATATCGGGATAACTGCCTGTACCGTACGACAATTGGTACAGGAACAAATAAATTAACGACTTGAACGCTTGGCTAAAAGAATGGTGCGGAACTCAGGGGTTTCTTTTTATGGGCCATTGGCACGAATATTGGCGGAAAAGAGAGCTCTTTTGGAGAAATGGGCTACATTTAAATCGTGCTGGGACAAATGTCCGAGCTAAACAAATTAACAGGGAAATAAATACGAATTTAAACTAGTAAAGGGGAGGAATATATAGGTAAGAGAAACCATAAATTAGCATCAGAAAAAGTAAAGATGACAGTGCAGAATAGCAGGCAGATAATAGGAATATGTTAACGAGGGGTAAGAAGCTTTGGCAAACAGATAAGGAATCAGAGAGTAGAGGAAATTGTAGGAAATTACAAATGTTATATCTGAATGCGCGAAGCATTCGGAATAAAACTGATGATTTAAAAGCACAGATAGACATATATGGGTACGATCGAGTGGCCATCACTGAAACATGGTTACAAGGAGATCGAGGGTGGGAGTTAAATACTCCAGGGTTCTCAGTTTACAGGAAAGACAGGCACTGTGGGAAACGAGGTGGGGGGGGGGGTGGGACGGGACACCCCTGTTAATTAGGGATGAAATAAAAGCAGTGGAGAGGAAGGATCTGAAATCCGATGACCAGGAGGTCGAGACAATATGGGTGGAAATAAAAAATAATAAAGGGCAGAAAATATTAATGGGAGTGGTTTATAGACCCCCAGACAGCGATCACAATATAACACAGGGTATCCATCAAGAAATCAGTGGAGCATGTAGGAAAGGTAAAGCGATAATAGTGGGTGATTTCAAAGGAGTATGAGGGTAAGTTCGCTGGGAACACTAAGTCTGATTGTAAAAGCTTTTACAAATTTTACAAATATATTAAGAGGAATAGGCTGTGAGGGTAAATGTAGGTCCACTTCAGTCAGAGACGGGAGAAGTTGTAATGGGGGATAAGGACACGGCAGAGGCCCTAAATGGGTACTTTGCATCTGTCTTCACCGTAGAAGACACAACCAGTCTACCAACAATAGAGATGCACCAAAGGGATGAGGACAGGGAGCAACTTAGGGAAATTTTCATTAGTAGAGAATTGGTGCTCGGGAAACTGTTAGCACTAAAAAGTGACAAATCCCCTGGTCCGGATGGTCTGCATCCCAGGGTTTTAAAAGAGGAGCTTATGAGATAGTGGAGGCCTTGTGTCTGATCTTCCAAAATTCCTTGGATTCTGGAACAGTCCCCATGGATTGGAAGATCGCAAATGTCACACCACTATTTAAAAAAGGTGGAAAGGAAAAGATGGGGAACTATAGTCAGTTAGTCTCACATCAGTGATAGGAACAATTTTAGAATCGTTGATTAAGGATGTGGTAGTGTGGTATTTAGGGCACAATATAATTAGGCCGAGTCAACACGGCTTTACAAAAGGGAAGTCATGTTTGACAAACCTCAAAGAGCTTTTTGAGGATATTTCCAGTAAAGTAGATAAGGGTGAATCAGTGGATGTGGTCTATTTGGACTTCCAGAGGCGTTCAATAAGGTGCTGCATAAAAGGTTAGTCCAAAAGATAAGGGCCCATGGAATTGGGGGGGAGCATATTACTGTGGATTGGGGAATGGTTAATGGGTAGGAAACAAAGAGTAGGGATAAACGGGTCCATTTCAGATTGGTGGGATGTGACTAGTGGAGTGCCACAAGGATCAGTCATTGGGCCTCAGCTATTTACCATCTACATCAACGATCAAGATGAGGACATCGCAGTTAATATATCTAAATTCACAGATGACACAAAACTAGGAGGAAGTGTCAACACAGAGGACGACATTAAAAAAATGCAGCGCGACATAGATAGGTTAGGTGATTGGGCAGGTAGGTGGCAGATGAAGTATAATGTAGGGAAGTGCAAAGTCATCCACCTGGGTAGAAAAAACAGTAGAGCGGGTTATTTTTTAGAAGGGGAGAGATTGGAACGTGCATTTCAGGTCAAAAAGTCCTGACCTGAAACGTTTACTCACTCTCTTCTCTCCAAAGATGCTGGCTGACCTGCTGAGTGTTCCCAGCAACTTCTGTTTTAATTACTGGAGAGACAATAACTGGCTATGTTTGTTCCTCAAAAAATGGTATGTATTTTAACAAAATATGCATTACATTTTCTCCTAAGTTCCATTACATTTGAATTATATTTTGATAGAGAATTGTTGTTTGAGGTATAGCCCGGTAAAAGACAACTGAAGCTCATATGCCAGTGACGCTATCTTGTCTTAAAGAGCTGCATGCTCAGTCCTATTCCTAACTGTATGAAGTCAGCACCTCTGAATGTTACACCTGCTTCAAGTCTTCTAACCTAGCAGCTCCACAATGGCTTCATGAGTAGCAGCTTCACCCACACAACAACAACAACAACTTGCAATTATATACCGCCCTGCATGTGGGATAGCGTTGCAGAGTGCTTGACAGTGTCGGAGCATGACACCAAGGAGTCACAGCCAAAGAGGAAGGTCTTCAGGCATGATCTGAAGATGGGGAAGGAAGGGGCAAGGTGGAGGGATAGAGGAAAACTGTTCCAGAGATTAGGGGTGTAGTGGCTGAAAGCATGGCCAACAATGGTGGAACGGAGGGCACGGGAAGGCAGGAGCCAGTCGAGCAGAGGCAGTGGGTAATAGGTTGGTGAGTAAGCAGGTCAGAGAGGTAGAGAGGTGCCAGGGCATGAAAGGATTTAAAGACGATTGAGAGGATCTTGAAATTCATCCGTTTGGCGATAGGGAGCCAGTGGAGCTCGGCTAGAGCTGGTGTGATGGTGGTATGGAGTTTAGTGAGGGTTAGTATTAGGGAGGCAGAGTTTGGAATCAGCTGGATCCTGTGTTTGGTGGAGCCCCGGCAAAGACGGCATTTGAAAAGTCAAGTCGGGAGGTGACAAACACATGGATGAGTGTTTCGACTGCGTAGTGGGTAAGGTACGGTTGGACTTGGAGTTGTACCTGGAGGAGAAGTAGATTTGCATGTCATCCACAAACCTGTGGAAGTTTACCCCATGTCTGCGGATGACATGCCAAGAGAGAGTATATAGATGAGGAATAGGAGGAGGCCAAGGATAGAGCCCTCAGGCCTACACTTTACAGATCAGGTTAAAATCCTAATTTGTGCTTGGTTATCTTATCCCAGCCAGAGCGGGAATTTGGGGCACTACAATTAGCCTCAGTGCCCCTGGGTTAGGAAGGAGAAAGCTAGGATCCTCAGGGCTGACGATTGCTTTCCAGAGACTGAGGCTGGAAGAATAGAAATTCTGTGCAATTTTGTATCAACAAGATTTTGGGGGAAAACATAAGACATATTTTGTTAAAGTACACAGCAAATTCCGTAGGTCTTTTATAGTGGCATAAACATTAGCACATTATAGGAGTATAATCGTTACTTGGTCCTCATTAATGGGTGGGGTTCAAAGCAGCAATTCCCATCTTTTCTCAGGTGTTTAATACCAGTGGTAATGACTAGTTGGTTTAGGCGTTGACTAGCTACAGCCTGCTGCCCTCGGAAACATCATGGTGAAATGAGCAGCAGGTAGGATTGGGAACCTTACTGTAGGCAGAGTTGCTTCACAGGAATATGGATTTCCCTCATGTGATAACCTGGATTAAGCAACTGGTGCTGAGTGATCTTGGTGTTGCACTTAGACCTCAACAACATCCAGGTGGCTGGCAAGTCACAAATTGTCTGTAAAGATTCTTCCACCTTGTTGAAGGAGGATGTTCATGCTGGAGATGGCAAACAAGGAAGAGGGAACTCAGCAAGAAATTCATGGAGGAGAAAAGGGTAGCAGGAGGAAAGAGGACAGTAAGGAAGTGAAAGAGAATGGTAAAAAGGCCGCTGGAGATGCTAATGTCTTCCTATAGTGAACAAAGGGAAATAAAATTTAAAGGTAAGGGTGGTAGTAAAGGAGAGAAGAAGCGAGAAGGAAAGTGGGAAAAGACAATTCATAGGGAGAGAGAAGTTTTCAGCAGGATCCAAGCAAGGTGGTGGTGATTCCCCAGGAGGAGATGGTGGGAGGAGAAGGAGAGGGGAAGGGGAAGTTAAAGGATCCCTGGAATTCAGGGAGACTGTGGTGGGAGAGTTTCCACTAATGATGGAAGGTTTGGGGTTTGTGTTGGAAAGTGAGGTAAGGGGAGCTCAGGAGAAGAACAGAGGGTTGAACAGGAGACAGAGAACAGAGGAACAGAAGCTGGAACAGGAGACAAAGGACAAAAGGAAACATGAAGTGAAGCCTGGAGAAGAGGGTGAAGGAGAGAGATTGGGAGAAAGATAGAGGGGGGTAATCTGAAGAGATCTCAGACAGTAGGGAGGAGGAGAATCCCTCTACATTTGGGGTGGAAAGTGCTGGGTATTTTGAAAAAGTGTTGAGAAACGAGTTCTTAAGGGTGGTAGGTCTCAAAACATCTCGTGAGAGGGGAGCATAGGTAAAACATAGGAAAGTAACAAAGAAAAAGGTTTAGGGGAGTTAAGGGAGTCAAGAAGTTTTTTTAAAAATTCCTACGGGATGGGAGCTGGCTTTGATGAATGTGAGAGGTATAGAGAAAAGAAATAGAAGAAAAATGTTAGGGAATTTGGAGGAATGTAGGGGATGAATGCAGTGGAACAGATCTTTCTGTGAGCCTGCTGGGGTGCGGGGGACATGGACTGCAGCTTGTTGGGTTAGTGGTGTTACTTTTGCTAAGTGCAAAACCTAGATGTAAAGATGTGGGGGATAGCAAAAGAAACAAAATAAACAAAATAAAGGAAGTCACCAGAAGAGATGGAGTAAGTGCTACCATTAATAACATGGTACAAAATGGATAGCCTGAAAACAAGCAGGTTACTCAGAGGCAGTTAGCCCATATTGGAAATATAGACATGAATTAAACAAACAAGAAGTATATATCGAGCGAAGAGAATAGTAATGCTAAAGGAGTTGAGAATGAAATTTATGAAGAACATCCATGAGGGACAATAGGGAATGGAAAGGCAAGTGAAAAGCAAGAGAAGATCAGCTATGATCTAATTAAATGGTGGAACAGGCTCAACGGGCTGAATGGCCTACTCCTGTTCCTATGTTCCTAAGTCATGTTTTGGCCCAGCATCAACAAACAACAACAATAACAACAAACAACAACAAATAGACTACAAACCTAAAAAAAAGACTAAAAACCAGGAGAGACATGAGCCAATCATGTGGAATGAGAAAACACACCAAGCCTGGACAAAAGTAGGAACAGATTTGTTCTATAGCAAAGAATTTGCTAGATTATTCTGGGAGAGCGGAATATGCTAAGTTTTGTTTTGAACTAATAACTGTGAAAGTAATAATTCTGAAGGTCAGCTTGAGCATTGAGAAAGTATCTGTACACCTCCAGAAAAGACCAGAATAAATATTCTCTTTTGACATAATTCTGATCAAAATACCTGTAATAATAACACAATGACAACGAAATCCTATTTATGGATGTGGTGGCTTCTTGCTGGAGGCAACAGAAAGAATAATTACACTCTAAGCAGATAGAAACTTTCCTTCTAACTGTTCAGAATCACTCGGGCTACATGGCTACACTGTGGTCCCAGTGCTCCCAGCTTACCCTGCCATCTGCTGGAGCTGACTGAGGCACAAGCTGTGGAACAGCCCCAGTATCTCCTGGATACAATACAAAATTACATTTGTAACGCGCCTTTCACGTCGACAGAACATCTCAAGGTGCTGAACAGTCAGGGATTAGGACCTGAGTGGTGGGGGAGCTTTGGGATCAGGGAGGGTGGAGGGCAGAGAGAGTAGGAGGGTGGCTGAGGGCACGGTCAAAGAGGAGGATCTTGAGGCATGCCTTAAGAGAGGGAGTGTGGCAAAGGGAATGTGGGATGGAGTTCCAGAGGGTTGGAGCAGAGAGGCTGAAGGAGGTCAATGGTGGGGCGGGCCGGGCGGGCAGGAGACCTGGAGCAGGCCGGAGCCTGCTGAGTGGATGGAGTGGACAGCTTGATAAGGGGTTAGCAGGTCAGAGAGGCAGGAGGGGGCAAGGCCATGGATGGCCTTGAAGGTGAGGACAAGAATTTTGAACTCGATCCTCTGGGGGATGAGGAGCCAATGGAGTTGGGCGAGGGTGGGGGTGATGGGGTCACGGAGCCTCGTTCAGGAGAGAACACGAGCTCCAAAGTTCTGGATGATCTGCAGTTTGTGGAGGGAAGAGTTGGGAAGGCTGACAAGGAGGGAGTTGGAGTAGTCAAGGCAACATATTGATTCTGCCAGTGTTTACTTTCCTCATGGAACCCACTTCACTTTTGTTGAAGTTCTACTCCAACTTCAGCTGCCAGACACCAGATGAATGCAACTGTTTCCTTTCCCCCAGCTACCCATCGTGTCCCTTTTTTTTAGTGAGGGAGGAATATCGGCTAAGAACAATCCAATTGAACCTGTCTATTTCACCCACAAATTATACAGTCAATTCACTTTACAGTATATTCTGTGAAGCTCTTTGAGACATCTCGAAGACGTGATAAGGCGCTATATCAAATGCAAGGATTATTGTTATTGATCCTAGCGAATATTCCTCCATCACTGAAAAAATATTACATTTGATCATCTCATTACTATTTGTGTGCAGATTAGTTGCATTGTTTGCTATATATATCCTTTACTTTACATCAAAGTAATCCATTATGCAAAGCGATCAGAGGATTCAATGTAAGGGGTTATATGAAAAGTCAGTATTATAATCCATGCATTTGAGATAGTACCTTATCACATTCAAACATATCAAAGCACTTCGCACAGTTTGTTATAGAGTCTAATGGCTATGTATTTGTACGTAAACCAGCAACCAACGTATGCACAGCAATGTCCCACAAACAGACATGAAGTGAATAACCAATTTTTAGCTGGAGGATTATTGCATAGGACCAATTCCCTCTCTTTTAGGTTAGTGTCATAGGACCTTTAATGCCCACTAAACAGGCCAACGGGACCCCAGTTTAATGTCTTATTTGAGGAGAAGTTTCCCAGCACTTCATTAGTGTCAGCCTGGACTATGAACTCAAAATCATGACACGAAGCGTGAACCTAAAACCTTTTGACTCAGAAGTGGGAGCAATTCCAAATGAGCCAAACATTGTTAATGTGACCATTTAGTCAATGTGGGGGAGGGTTCGAGACGAGACAGAATCTGTATTGAGCAATGCAATGAATATTTCATACTGCAAACAATACAGTAAATTCGTCAAAATTATGAGCAGTGTGTTGACTTACCATCCAAGCACAAGACCTTGTCCTGTCTGTCAATCAACAGGTACCTGGGGCTGTCTGGGAACCAAGGCAAGCTGATGAGCTGAATCAGGGCAGGCAGCCCACTGAAGGCCAACAGGAAATGCCATCTATGTTCAGTGCCCAACACTTCTCTGGGAAACAAAAAGGAAACACATCAATATGAGAGGCTATGGCATAGACATCTGGTCACTTTGTATCAACATGGTTTGGGGGGAGCAGGAGTTATGGAGAAGCAGCTAAAGCCACTGCTCAATAAGATGGCATCATGCCTAACAACCACCGTTATTCAAGGAAGACAATGGTCAGAAGTAGCCCCTCACAAAAACCGTCCAGCCCTGCACTGGGGGAAGGGGTTGGTGAGACTACAATCAGCTCAACAATGAATCCACTGACACCCTAACCAAAAGGAATTGAGATGCTTTGAAACGTCTCAAATGACGTGATAGGGCACTATATCAAATGCAAAGATTATGATTATTAATAATTGTCAGAATATTAATAAATATAATAATCCTTGTAACTGTTATCGTCAAGTCAGGAGGTGATCTCAAAATGCTGCACAGGATTCACCACAAAGTTTAGTATGTATTTGTAGGTAAACCAGCAACCGATTTGCAATGTCCCATCAACAGCAATGACATTGATGACCAAAAGTGTGGACCTGAAGCCTGTGGTCCTGGGTAACCAGGCTGCACGAGAAAGATTGTTCCAGACGGAACGAGCTCTCAGTAAAATGCTCTTCCTGAGCGAGTGAACGTTTGCAAGTAAGTCAACGTTTTCGCTTTCGGGAAGATTCGAATATGTCAAGACTTCAAAGGTGGAGCAAATTCCTTCAGAAATTCTCTGCTTCCTTTCTGAGTTTTGCCAATTAGATGACATCAGAGTCAGCGTGACACAGCAATTGATCATGAGATTATTATTGTTATTATGAGTAACAATTGTATTGTTCGATGTTACTTCAGACCACCTGTGTCAGGAGATTAGAAGGAATGTTTTTTACGCAGAATTGTTAGGATGTGGAAAGCTGTGCTGGGTGCGGGGGTTGGGGCATAATCCAAATTAGCTTTTAAGAGGGAACAAGAAAGATATTTAAAAAAGAATAATTTAAAGGCTATGGGGAAAAGGCAGGTTAATGAGACGATATTAATTGCTTTTTTCAAAGAGCCAGCACAGCTCTTTGGCCTTTCCAACGCTGTAAATTTTAATAGTTCTATGATTCTAAGAAGACAGCTGTTGAATGTCTTTGACAACGTATTCATCCTGTGCTGAGGGGTTGCAGTGTTATCTATCCATTCTTTGTGCTATGAGTGATTGTGCCGAGGTACTCCGTACACGAAGGATATTGCTGACCATTAAGCCTGGGATGGAGTCTGGCTGATGGCTAACAATATGTACTCAATGAGAAAACGATGTAGCCAGTGACTTTCTTGTTTCTGCAGCTCAAGTGATAAACAAACTGAAGGCAGCTCAAGCCACTCATCCACTGAGCAGGATCTTTTCAGAGTAACTGTAAAAGGGAAGGAGAGCTATTATGTAAAATCGTGAATTATTAAAGCCGAACTAGAAGTCTTTTTGGAGGATATTAGCACTATCTGAAAGACCTCGGTTTAATGTCTCATCGGAGGACAGTTGGTTGATACAATTCTCCCAGCACTGCCTTAGAATGCAGTGTGGGACCTGCCAGGTTTGGGGCCACAGCTCCTGGAATGCATTATGTGGAGTCCAGATTTGTGAAACATGTTCCTATATTCAAACTTGATATTTGTCTTGATTGGTTGGCAGAGATCTGTTCCTGTTCCAACTGGTGAAACCACTGCTCAGAGGAGGATGGTAACATTGCACTTATACATTTGAGGTTGAGTTGTTGCTGCTCACCGTGTCATCTGTCAGGTGCGTCTGGTAGCAGCTATCGACTTAGCAGGGGCTCAAATCTGCACTTGTCTGAGATCTAATGAAGAACCAGTCAATCTTGGAATTGAGCTGATGCTCTCACTTGGCACTTGTTAACTCTGCAAGCGCAAGCCCTAATGGATAGGGTCATCCTAATCAGACAAGCAGTGTGGTGCTTGTCAGACAGATTTTGCAACAACAAGCAGTTTTAATTGGGTAAACTCCAGCAATATCTCTGGGGTACCAAAGCCTTGTTTCCCACCAACCTGCATCTAATACTTTCCAGGTTTAGGTGATCAGGATCATCTCTCAGGAAAGAGAGTGCACATTCCATTCCAGATAAAGGGGAATTTTCATGCAATGTGTGGAACTCTCACAGTCTAGTTTGGATACACTTATGCAAGGTGAAGAGTTTCCGCAATGTATCAGACACTCAGCCGACCAAAACAAAGGATATGAGCAAGAAAGTCAGAGATGCAATAGTTGCATGGCAACAGCTTCATTCTGCCATCACTTCCTTCAACTGTCAATCACATGATGAATTGGAAAACTGGATTTAGTTGCACCCAATAACAAACTAAAATTGTCATTGGGTGCAACTCTGTGTCAGAGGTAGCTCTGCCTCCTAAACCATACCAACCGAGTTGCTGTCTCCACTTGGTGGGTACTGGCCTGCTCCGCCTCCCCCATCCTGCCCACTCCAGGTCGGTCAAGCCCTTAGCCTTTCTGCACCCACCCTTTGGAACTCCATCCCGGAGCCCCTCCGGCTTGCCTACTCTCTTGCCTCCTTCAAGGCCCATCTCAAAACCTTCCTCAATGGCACGTCTTTGGTCATTTTCCCACCACCACCCCTCTTGCCTTCCACCACTCTTGACTCCAGCCCACAGCTCGGACGCAAACCCTTGACTGTCCAGCTCATTGGAATGTCCTGCTGAGAGGCACTAGATCAATGCAATTTGTTGTTGTAAAATATCACCGCATTCCGCAGACAGGAATATGTCCAAATGTCAAGGGCACGATCACATTTACCTGAGTCCAATGGTCTGTCCTGTCACTTTGCCAAAGGCAACAAACATGGCTCGGGTCAAAGACACAACTCCTCGAAGTTTGATTGGTGAACTTTCTCCAAGGTACATACTCTGAACATTGAGGCCAATCCCTTCAAATAAACAAGGGAGAACAAGTAAGTTATTTACTGAGCATCTCGTTGTGATGGCATTGTCCAGACTCAAGCCATTCTCAGTGCGGTGTATAGTTTGGATTCTTGAGGGAATCTGAACATATTTGGAGTCCCATCGACTGCTCCACAACTTGTGGGCACATCAAGCTGGGTATGAGACACTTCAAATACTGTTAAGGGTAAAAGCTGATTAGTTCATTAACACTGTCGAATCCCAGGACACACTGCTCCGCCTCGAAACCATTTGGGGGCCCTCATGTTCCATTTGTTTTATTCCCATTGTTATTACTTTTGCTGCTGCCATTCAATCTGCACTAATTCTGGACTGAGGGTGTCATCTGACAGTACAGTACAGCATTCATCTCACACACCGTCACCAGCACACAACACACACACAGACATCAGCACACACACACACAGTCACCAGCGCATACACACACACAGACATCAGCACACACACACACACTCAGTCACCAGCACACACACACACAGTCACCAGCACACACACACACAGTCACCAGCACACACACACATCAGCACACACACACACACACAGTCACCAGCACACACACAGACATCAGCACACACACACACAGACATCAGCACACATACACACAATCACCAGCACACATACACACAATCACCAGCACACACACATAGACATCAACACGCACACACACACACACACAGTCATCAGCACACACACATACAGACATCAGCACACACACACACACAGTCACCAGCACACACATAGACATCAACGCACACACACACAGTCACCAGCACACACACAGACATCAGCACACACACACACACACACACACACAGTCACCAGCACACACACACACACACACAGACATCAGCACACACACACACAGTCACCAGCACACACACAGTCACCAGCACACACACACACCACACAGTCACCAGCACACACACAGACATCAGCACGCACACACACACACAGACATCAGCACACACACACACAATCACCAGCACACACACATAGACATCAACACGCACACACACACACACACACACAGTCATCAGCACACACACATACAGACATCAGCACACACACAGTCACTAGCACACACATAGACACAGTCACCAGCACACACACACACAGTCACCAGCGCACACACAGTCATCAGCACACACACACACACACAGTCACCAGCACACAAACAGTCACCAGCACACACATAGACATCAGCACACACAGTCACCAGCACACACGCACAGTTACCAGCACACACGCACAGACATCAGCACACACACACACAGTCACAGCACACGCACAGACATCAGCACACGCACACACACAGTCATCAGCACACGCACACACACCGTCAGCAGCATACACACAGACATCAGTACACACACATACACACAGTCACCAGCACACACAGTCACCAGCACACACACACAGACATCAGCACACACACACAGACATCAGCACACACACACACAGTCACCAGCACACACATCGTCACCAGCACACACACACACATACACAGACATCAGCACACACACAGTCACCGGCACAGACACGCACATAGTCACCAACTCACATACAGTCACCAAGAAACAGAGTCATCAGCACACACACACATACAGAATCACCTGTACACAAACACACATGTGTGTACACACAGTCACCAGCACACACACACCCACACACATAGTTATCAGCAAACACCCTAACTCACACACACAACAACAACAACAACAAGATTCCATTTATAGAGCGCCTTTCACATCGGGAGGACGTCCCAGCACACAATGTACACACACACACACGTACACACAGTCACCCATGTACACATACACACACACTATCATGGCATACACACACACACACGTACACACAGTCACCCATGTACACATACACACACACTGTCATGGCATACACACACACACACACACGTACACACAGTCACCCATGTACACATACACACACACTGTCATGGCATACACACACACACACACACGTACACACAGTCACCCATGTACACATACACACACACTGTCATGGCATACACACACACACACACACGTACACACAGTCACCCATGCACACACACACACACACACGTACACAGAGTCACCAGCACACACACGCACACACACAGTTGTCAGCACTAACACATTCAGAGTAACACACATTAACAAACAGAGAGTGTTTACTTCCCAATCACTGCTATGACATATAGCGCCTGTTTTGTCGCAAACATAATTGATAGCAGATTGATCAGCCAGGAATTGAAGCATAAATCAGTTGATGCTGAGGATCTTCTGCTCGTCAAACATTCTGCGCTGTGTCCAAGGTTTGTCAGTACATTAGATTGGTTTGGGTGAAGAAAGCCCTTAGGCCCATCCGATCTCATCCTTCCAGAAACTAACTCCCCATCACAGCATCAAGCTGCTTTTTAAATGAGTCAAGTGTCTTGGACTGTCCCACTTACCTGGCAACCTGTACCAGTTATCGATGACCCTCTGTGTAAAGAAAAACTCTGAGATCTTTCCTGAAATTGCCCTTTACAATTCTAAGCCCATGTCCTCTTGTTCTACTGTCCTGTTGCATCCAAAAGTATTGATCTTGGCTTCTCTTTGTTAATCCTATTTAAAATGTTATACACTTCTCTGCGGTCCCCTGTGAGCCATCTTCACTCAGGATTGAAGAGCCTGAGCTTGTCTAATCGTTGCTCACCACTCATTCCTTTAACACTGGGGCCATGGCCTCCAGGGCCTTATGTCGCAGAACCAGAACCGCACAGGTGAGGTCTGACGAGAGCACTGTGCAGCCTGAGTGACTCCAAGTTGCCTGAAAACACTATTAAAGCAACAATGATGTAAGAATTTTGCAGCCAAGTGTGTTGTGAATACTGGTCAATAGGTCTTTGTGATGTACAGTTCTCTATTACATGTGTGTAATTAATGATCATGAGGAGTTCCTTGGCCTCATCTTGGCTTGGTTTAGATTCCTCTCTGATGCAAAATATGTCTCAATAAACAGCGACCTCCACATGCACTCTCTCATTCTTTAGATCACTTTTCCGGGGGTAATAATTCCTTCAAAAAAAATAATAAATCGGTCACTCAATCCACAACTGGCTGTGGGACATTGCTGTCAATTCACTTCACAGTATATCCTGTGAAGCGCTTTGAGACGTCTCAAAGACGTGATACGGAGCTATATGAAATGCAAGGATTATTATTATGGACTCTAGACTTCTCTCTGCAGACCAATAGCTTGTCCCTTGTCTCTCCTCTCCATCTCTGAGGTGAAATGCACAAAGTGCAGCACCACATTCAGAGGTTAAATAAATCGCACCCTTTAAAAATTCAGAACTGATCCTAACAAATGTGTGAAGCAGCCATATACCTGCATTGATTCCATACAAGAAGCGTCCCACCATAATCATCTCAAAAGATCGAGCCATCCTGCTGAGCAGCATTATTGTAGCTGCTAGAATATCCACCAGATTATTGAACAGCAGGACTTTCTTTCTGAAATACAAAATAATAAGGTTAGATCTAATCCTGCATTGTATTTCCCCTTCTCAGCTTTCCACTCCCACCCCACAGTTTGGACACACCGTCATTGTGTGAAGCACTTGAGACTTTTCCCAATGTGAAAGGTATGATATTATAATAATAATACAACAACAACAAGATTCCATTTATAGAGCGCCTTTCACGTCGGGAGGACGTACCAAAGCACTGGACAGTTGGGTCAGGACCCGAGCAGTGGGGAAATGGTCAGGGTGAGGGGAGGGAAGGGGGGGAGCGAGGAGGGGGAAATGGTCAGGGTGAGGGGAGGGAAGGGAGGGAGCGAGGAGGGGGGAAATGGTCAGGGTGAGGGGAGGGAAGGGAGGGGGCGAGAAGGGGGGAAATGGTCAGGGGGAGGGGAGGGAAGGGAGGGGGTGAGGAGGGGGGAAATGGTCAGGGTGAGGGGAGGGAAGGGAGGGGCGAGAAGGGGGGAAATGGTCAGGGGGAGGGGAGGGAGGGGGCGAGGAGGGGGGAAATGGTCAGGGTGCGGGGAGGGAAGGGAGGGGGTGAGGAGGGGGGAAATGGTCAGGGTGAGGGGAGGGAAAGGAGGGGGCGAGGAGGGGGGAAATGGTCAGGGTGAGGGGAGGGAAGGGAGGGGGCGAGGAGGGGGGAGATGGTCAGGGTGAGGGGAGAGGAGGGAGGGAGGGGGCGAGGAGAGGGGAAATGGTCAGGGTGAGGGGAGGGAAGGGAGGGGGCGAGGAGGGGGGAAATGGTCAGGGAAGGTAGGGAAGGGAGGTGGTGAGGAGGGGGGAAATGGTCAGGGTGAGGGGAGGGGAGGGAGGGGGCGAGGAGGGGGGAAATGGTCAGGGTGAGGGGAGGGAAGGGAGGGGGCGAGGAGGGGGGAAATGGTCAGGGTGAGGGGAGGGAAGGGAGGGGGCGAGGAGGGGGAAATGGTCAGGGTGAGGGGAGGGAAGGGAGGGGGCGAGGAGGGGGGAAATGGTCAGGGGGAGGGGAGGGAAGGGAGGGGCGAGGAGGGGGGAAATGGTCAGGGTGAGGGGAGGGAAGGAAGGGAGCGAGGAGGGGGGAAATGGTCATGGTGAGGGGAGGGAAGGGAGGAGCGAGGAGGGGGGAGATGGTCAGGGTGAGGGGAGGGAAGGGAGGGAGCGAGGAGGGGGTAGAGAGTCGAGAGGGGGGGGTGAAGGCACAGTCAAAGAGAAAGGTCTTGAGACCGGCCTTGAAGGAGGAAAGGGAGGAAGCGGCGAAGGCACTGGGGATGGAGTTCCAGAGCCTCGGGGCTGAGAGGCTGAAGGCCACCGATGGTCGGGCGGTTGGGGCAGAGAATGTGGAGCAGACCGGAGCCAGAGGAACGGAGGGTACGGGGTGGTAGATAGGGGGATAGTAGGTCGGAGAGGTAGGAGGGAGCGAGGCCGTGAATGGCCTTGTAGGCGAGGATGAGGATCTTGAATTCGAGATAATAATGATATAAGATTATAATAATAATCATTGCATTTGATAAAGCACCTTATCACGTTGTGGAAACATCTCAATGCGCTTCATACGACTGTGTATTTTGTGGGTGAAACATGGCAGCCAGTTTGCACACAGCAATGTCCCACAATCATGTCGTAAGTGACTAATTTGGGGTATTGTTGGCCAGAACACCAGGAGAAGCTCCCTTCTCTTTTGATATAGTGCCATGGAATCTTTCACATCTACTTGGACAGACAGGACCTCAGTTTAAAGTCTGATCCAAAGAACAGTGTCTCCGACAACACAGCACATACCCAGCACTGCACTGGACTGTCAGCTTGCCCTTAGACTGTGTGATTTCAAGTTCTGACATGGGACTTGAACCCACAACCTTCTGACTCAGAGGTGACACATCTAATATAAATGTAAACTGTTGATGTATAAGGGGGATAGAGCAAATATTACAGTTTGAGCAGAAATCTGCATATTTCAAAAAAATAAACACTACAACCCATTTGATCTAATCCTTCCAGAATTCATTCCTACCTGTTTCCCATTACAGCATCAAGCTGTTTCGTAAGTGAGACCAGTGACCTGGCCACAACCACCCTTCCTGATAGAATCATAGAATCATAGAATGTTACGGCACAGAAGGAGGCCATTCAGCCCATCGAGTCTGTGTGGCTCTTTGACAGAGCAACTGACTTTTATTAACCCCACTCACCAGCTTTCTCCCCATAACCCCACAAACCAGTCTTCCCCCGATACCTATCCAGTTCTCTCTTAAAAGCTGTTATCGAATCGGACTTCACTGCCCTTTCGGGCGGATCAATCCAAATCCAAACAACTCGCTGAGTGAAAACATTTCTTCTAACCTCCCCTCTGCTTCTTTTGGTGATATCTTAAGACTGTGACCGCGAGTCACAGACACACCTACCAGCGGAAACAGCTTTTTCCTATCTCGCCTGTCGAAACCTTTCATGATCTTGAAGACCTCTATCAGGTCCCCTTCTCTGCTCTAATGGGAATAACCTGTTGCATGGTGTATTAATAATAATAATAATCCTTGCATTTGATATAGAGCCTCATTACATCTGTAAGACATGGCAAAGCACTTTACAGAATACACTGTATATTTTGTGGTTGAAACGTGGCAGCCAATTGCGTACAGCAGTGTCCCACAAACAGTCGTGGATTGAGTGACCAATTTTTATTTATTTTTTTGAAGGAATTATTACCCCCAGAAAGATGATCCACCAATCGACCAACAATCGGGTTCCTACTTACTGCGAGATAAACAGAGGCGAGTGGAATAAGGAAATTTGCCCAACATTTTACTCGGCCGGGAATCAAACCCAGGTTTCTCACTTGCGAGGTGAGTGCTCTAACCACTGAGCTACAGGACTCCATAAAGAGATCTAATAGTCCAAAGAGCCCTAAATTATCTGGAACTGTTGCTGTTAAATCCATACAAAAAAGAATTCATAGAAAGATATTTATGTGCATATTTTCAGCGCTCCTACCTTCCGTACTTCACTGCTAGATGCCCGGCGTTCAGTGTTCCCAGCAAGCCTCCAATAGGATAGATGGAAACAACTAAGGACCAAATAAGTTTGACTGTCGTGTCCTCCAGTTTGGTGCCAAAACGCTCAGCCCACGTCTCAGCAATAAAAAGCTTAATATACTGTAAACACCGATTGAAATAAGTCTGTATTAAAAACTGAAAATCTGTGTAAAATGAATCAAAATTAAAATTAATTTGCTAAATATATAATTGAGATTATTTAGCAAAATATGATAAGTAGCTGCACACATAATCAGAAACATGAGAGTGTGGGGCTCTGAGCACTTCCACAAGCTGATAATTTATTGTAATCATTTAATAATGTTTTAATTTATTGGAGCGGAGGTTGGTTGTAAGTGACTTTGTTTCTCTCACATCACAAACTGTACAGCACTGTCACAACTCTTCAGTCCATTGGGCCTCTTGTCATTTGTAAGCACAGAAAATTGTCTCTTCAGGAATATTCATGGGATACGGCACTAACTCAGAACACAATATACATGAGTGTCCTGTGTCTCGTGCATAAATTTAAGAAGGTCATTTGATGCATTTGAAAATGATCCCCCCACAATAAAGACGACAGAACCCAGGCCTTTTCCCAGGTTTGGATGCTAGATTATTCAACATATTTTAACCTTGTTCCTTAAAATAGGGAAAGAAACAGGCAAGTTTAACCCCCAAGATTTCATTTGTCCCATCAAAAGGTATGTACAAGGCATGTAAGCAAGGTGCACAAGGCAATGATTGGCACATACAAGGTGAGTAATTCAATGAAGGGTTAGATTGGAACTCAACCTGTATACCAAGTCACTGTAATAATAATCCAAGCTATTTGACAATAAGCCATTTGGTAACAAGTCATTTGATCCTCGCCTTGGCTGCTAAGTTTGTTTGAAGTTTTTTCTCTGTCCTATTGACAGAATGTTATGGAAAGTGCATAAGGCTACATTGCTTACAGCTGAGTTTGCATTGATGGAAGAAACATTGAATCCATATTGGAAGCTTCCTCCAATTCCAGCCACCAGGATCAATGGGAAAAGCAGATGTCCCTGCAACTACAACAAAAGGAAGCATGAGTCACATTTCAACCCATCTGACCCATTACAGGCTCAATAAACAAAACTTCAGAAAAAATAACAGACCGATCATATATATATATAATAATCTTTGCTTTTGATATAGCACCTTGATCATCATCGAGACGTCTCAGAGTGCATCACAGGATATTTTGTGAAGTGTATTGATTGTGCATTTTTTGTGGGTGAAATGCAGCAGCCAATTTGTGTACTGAATGCTCCACAGACAGCCATGGAGAGAAAGATCATTTTTATTTGAGGGATTTGTTGGCCAAAAGCTTCCTACTCTTTTTGAATAATGCCAAGGGATCTTTAACGTCCACCTGACAGGCAGACAGGACCTCTGTTTAACGTCTTATCATGGAATGGGTGCAAAATATTCTACAGGGAGAAGGGGAACATACAGAAGTCATGTTGGGATCCATGATGTAGGGAAACAAAGAGCTGAGATCCTACAGGGAGAGTATCAGAAGCCAGGGAAAAAGCTAAAGAGTAGGACCTCAAAGGACCTCAAAGTAATCTCTGGATTACTCCCAGTGCCTCATGCAAGTGACTATCAAAACAGCAGAATCAAACACATGAATATATGGCTGGAGAAATGGTGCAGAAAGGAGGGCTTCAGGTTCTTGGATCACTGGGACAAGTTGTGGGGCAGGTGGGACCTGTACAAGGTGGATGGGTTATACCTGAACAGGGCTGGGACCAATGTCCTCACAGGGAGGTTAACAAGTGCTGTGGAGAAGGGTTTAAACTAATTTTGAGGGGGGAAGGGAATCAGGATGTAGCATTAGAGAGGACGTACAAGTTACATAGAGGGCTGGGAGAGACAAATAGCAATGTGATCAGGAGTAATCCAGAAAAAGGAGGGATTAGATGGGGGAGAAATTCAGAGCAGACTCAGTTGGTCTTGGAGTGCATGTGCATAAATGCACGGAGTGTGACAGATAATATTGGTGAGCTGCGGCTCAAGTTGCCACATGGGGTTATGATGTGGTGGCAATAACAGAGACCTGGCTCAAACAAGAGCAGGAATGGGAGCTGAATATTCCTGGCTACAATGGATTCAGGAGGGATAGGGAAGGAATAAAAGTATAAAGCAGAACAAGTACATTCCCACGAAGGGGAAAGGAGGGCATCCAAAACTCCCTGAATGAATAAGGAAATTGGGATTAAAATAAAACAGAAAAAGGAGATTTATGATACATGTCGGGTCCAAAATACAGAAGGTAATCAAATAGAATATAGAAAGTACAGAGAAAGGAAATAAGAGGGGCAAAGATATTGTATGAGAAAAGATTAGGGGGTAACATAAAAGGGAATCCTAAGGTATTTTATAAGCAGATACAGAATAAAAGGTTAGTCAAAGGTCGGGTGGGTCCAATAAGGGACCAAAGAGGAAATCTTCCTGTGGCGGCAGAGGCTGACGTACTGAATGAGTACTTTTCATATGTCTTGACAAAAGAAGAGGACGCAGCCAATGCCACAGTATCGGAGGAGAGGGTAGAGAAATTGGATAAGAATAAACCGAGAGGAGATTCTAACAAGGCTGTCAGTGCTCAAGGTAGATAAGTCACCCGGTCCAGACGGGGATGCATCCCAGGTTACTGAGGGAAGTCAGGGTGGAGATAATGGAGTCTAAATAAATCATGTAAATGCACACAGAGTTGAAGGAATTGCTGTAGCATTACAGCTTGCACCCCCCGTTGCCAATATTAGTAGAAAGGCCTGGGTCAAGCAGGGGGTGGATTTGAATTCAGTCCAAACTGATGGGATGAAAGCAGTTTCTCTCTATTTATTGTAAGGATGATTTATTATTGAGCAGTGACAGAACCAATCATTCTCAGGTTATCTACCGCACCGGTTAGTTACAAAGTAAAATTCCTTTCATACTGTTGCATCAAGCACTCTTAAATCAGATCCTACGAGGGTTATATGCAGAGCAAACTTCCTTTACATGCTTCTGTCAAGCATTCTTATGTAAGTTCTAGCAAGGGTTATATACAGAGCAACGTTCCCACTGTGAAGTCTCAGTAATGTCTCTAACCTTGGATCATACGGACTAGAATCTTACTTCCATTTACCAATATTGTATGATCTCTCAGAGTATGAATTTCAACTTGGCACCAACAACCACTTGGTACTGTGTTGTGCAGTCAGTCCTGACTGACCTGGTACTGACTATTTCATTAGGAATAAAATAGAAACCATTTCAATTTATTTCCACAGCACACTAGCAGAAGCAGCACAAGGATCTGTTCTTCAGTTAGATAATATTAATAATAATAATAATATTACAACAACAACAACAAAATTACAATTGTGAAGCGCCTTTCACATTGGGAGGACGTCCGAAGGCACTGGACAGACAGTTACGGACCTGAGCTGGGGGTCGGGGTGGGGGAGGGTGTGGGAAGCAAGGAGATTGAAAGTACGGTCAAAGAGGAGGATTATTATTAATAATAAATGCCCAGAAACTCCACCAAAAATGAAATAAACAAGAGTAAAAATGTAAATTAGTGCAGACGAGACATTACACACGATGAGAGAACCTACCAGCTTCTTCAGCATCTTGTCCTGTCGATGTGTCCAGCACCAAATCTCTATTCTAACTGTTGTGGGGTTTGACTCTTACAGAAATGACACTGAGATATTTAAGGCTGAACAGAAATGTGAAGCAATAGAGCTTAAGATGTGTATTGCTGGTTTTTTTAACTTGAGTCTAATTTATTAACTTCTTTGTGCAAAGAGCCGGTGCATCCACGGTCTATTAACCCTGCCTGCAGGGCTATGTTTTCATTAGATTCTCTGCGTCACAAATAAAGTTTAACATTAAACTTTAAATAGATTGAACTCTTTGTGTAACCTCTGCTGTTAAAATGATGATGTCAGTACACAGGGTCCATGCTTGAACTTTCTCTGCTTGAGTGAATGCAATTCAGGTTTTCTGAGCCTCATCATCAATGCATCTGATCATGCTAGTGAATCAATGTTTCCGTGGTTTTGATATCTTTTGCCTAAACTCCTTTGCATCCCAGGTGCTAGTGTAAGCAGGTTCTGAACAGTTTAGAGAAGGAAGGAGAATCTCCAATATTTGTGGTTCATGTAGGAACCATCGACAGTAAAGTATAGGTTTCAGGTCCTGCAGAGCGAGTTCCAGGAATTACGACATAGCTATCTGAGGTGAGGTGTTGGGGGTTCTAATTTCAGGATTACTCACTGTGCCATGTGCTAGTCAGCATAGGAGCAATAAGATCGACAAGTAAATGCATGGCTTGAGAGATGGTGTAGCAGGGAAGGGTTTAGATTGTGAGGACATTGTGGGGACTAGTTGTGGGGCAGTTGTGCACTGTACATAATGGATGGGCTGAATACATGAACAAGGCTAGGAAAATAACTGGGACCTCAGCAGAGGATTTAACTAATATGGCAGGGTGGGAGTGGGTGAGAACAAACATGATTTGATATGGAGGAAGAGTGAGGGGATACGGATATGCAGAAAACAAAATAACCTTCAGATAATGATTGGTAGAGGAGAGAAGAGGTGAGTAGAATTTAAATACTCAACAACAACAATGTGTATAGTGCCTTTCACATCAGGAGGACATCCCAAGGCGCTGGATCGGGGAGGGTGGAGGGTGGAGGGCAGTGGGGAAGGAGGGTAATTGAAAGCATGGTCGAAGAGGAGGGTCTTGAGATGGGTCTTCAAGGAGGCAAAGGAAGGGAAGAGGCAGAAGGACTGCGGGATGGAGTTCCAGAGGGTGAAGCCAGAGTGGCTGAAGGCCCCACAGCCAATGTGAGGCTGGCGAGGCAGGGGATGTGAAATACTCAGGGAAGAGTTGTGAGTAAAACTGAAAAGGAGGCATTAGTGAAAAATAGCAAGAAGACATGGAAAGACAGCAAGTGTGTGTTGCACTGCTTGTACAGTTACACACAGAGCACCAAGAACAACATGGGAGACCTGGGGTCAGTAAACAAAAGTGAGGAATTGCATATAATTACATTAACAGAAACATGGTTAGAACTTGGAAATGATTGGCAATTAAATATTGCAGGATACAATATATTTAACAACAATAACTTGTATTTATAGAGCAGCCATACCACTGGATTGCATCGTGGTGCACTTTACAGCCTGATGCTGAGCCAGGGGGAGGGGGAGGTGACTGCAGGCGGAGTCAAAGAGGAAGGTCTTCAAGCTCGACCTGAAAATGGGGAGAGAGGGGGTAAGGTTAAGGGATTGAGGGAGAGAGTTCCACAGCTTCAGGGCATAGTGGCTGAAAACACGGCCTCCAACAGTGGGGCGGAGGGTTTGGGGGACAAGGAGGAGGCCAGAGCCAGTCGGGTAGCAGTGTAACGAGAGGGTAGGTTGGAGAGATAGTGGGGTACCAGGGCATGAAGGGATTTAAATACAAGAGTGAGGATCTTGAAATCAATCTGCTCTGTGACGGGGAGCCAATGGAGTTTGACAAGCACTGGGGTAATAGAGGCACAGATAATGTACAGATTATTATGTACAGATAATTACAGATAATGGATGTACATTTCACGTCAAGTTCTGTTTTATGAAATATTTGGTAGGAAGTTTTTCATTGATAAAATGAGCTAGATTTACATTCTTACTGTCGCATGATAACAAGAAACCTACCAATTTACAGGGTGATTACAAAAGAAATAATTAGAGTAATTATTAAACGTCATTTAATGGACTTGTAGTGGAGTATGTGATTTAAAATTCATTAACCATTGTCAAATATGCATTACGTTGTGTAAATGTGCATGGGCAATGCTCAGATTAAGACTTCAATAGTAATTTAAGAGAATTTAATTAACCTAGACATCCTTTCTGCTTTTGACTAAAGTCATCAACAGAACTTGCAAGCGAGAAACCTGAGTTCAATTCCAGGCAGAGGGCGAAACCTCAGGCAAGTTTCCTTACTCCACACAGAGCCTAATAATAATCCTCCAAAACAAAAACAATAATAAATGGTCATTTTCAATCCACGACTGTTTGTGGGACATTGCTGTGCGCAATTGGCTGCCGCGTTTCGCCCACAAATATACAGTCAATTCATTTTACAGTGTGTTCTGTGAAGCGCTTTGGGACGTCCTCCCGACGTGAAAATTAAATAAATCAAATAATTATCTACTTCTCTCTTAAAACTTGTTATTGAATCGGTCCCCACCGGCCTTTCAGGCAATGCATTCCAGATCCCAACAACTCACTGTGTGAAAACATTTCTCCTCCCCTCCCCTCTGTTTATTTTAACAACTATTTTAAATCGGTGTCCTGGGGTTACCGACCCACCCGCCAGTGGGAATAGTTTCTCCTGTTCACCCTATCGAATCCCCTCATCATTTTGAAAACTTCTATTAAGTCTCCTCTTAACCTTCTCTGCTCCAAGGAGAATAATCCTCACTTCTCTGCCTCTCCTGATAACTGAAGGCCCTCATTCCTGGTACCATCCTGGTCAGTCTCCTTTGCGCCCTCTCCAATGCCTTGACATCCTTCCTAAAGTGTGGGGCCCAGAACTGAACACAGTCTCTCGCTGAGGCCTAACCAGTGTTTTATATAAAGGTTCACCATAACTTCCTGACTTGTGTATTCTATGCCCCTATTTATAAAGCCTAGTATCCCGGATGCTTTTTTCAACAGTGTTATCTGCCTGTCCGGCCACCTTCAAACATTTACTATATGACCCCCAGGTCTCTCTGTCCCTTCACCCCCTTAAGATTGTACCATCATCTTATATTGCCTCTCCTCATTCTTCATCACAAATGCATCACTTCACATTTCTTCGTATTAAATTTCATCTGCCACGTGTTTTCCTATCTTAGTATCATCGGTAAGTTTGGAAATTGTCCTCCCTGTACCCAAGTCCGGGTCATTTATATAGATCAAAACCAGCAGTGGTCCCAATACCAATACCACTGCACTTCCCTCCAGTCAGAAGAACAACTGTTCCCCACACTCTCTGCTCTCTGTCTCCCAGACAGTTCTGTATCCGCTGCCACTGTCCCTTTAATACCGGGGGCTTCGATTTTGCTACAAGTCTCTTATGTGGTACTTTATCAAATGCCTTTTGAAAATCCTTATAAACTACATCACCTGCACTGCCTTCATCCATCCTCTCCGTTACTGCATCAAAAAACTCTATCAGGTTTGTTAGACATGATTTGCTTTTAACAAACCCGTGTTGACTGTCCTTTATTAACCCATATTTTTCTAAGTGAAAATTTATTTTGTCCCGGATTATAGTCTCCAGGAGTTTTCCCACTATTGACGTTAGGCACTGGCCGGTAGCTCCCAGTTTATCCTTCTGCCCCTTGTTGTACATTGGAGTAACATTTGCAACCCTCCAGTATCTTAAGTATCTTACAATGGATGCATAATTGACTGACTTCTTCATAAACGATATGGAGCAAGGACACAAAGCTAATGAAGGTGGTAGACTGCAAAGCTGAACAGGACAGGTTACAGGAGGACCTGAACGTTCTTAGGAATTGGGCAGATTGATGGCAAATGAAATTCAACGTAGAGAAATGCAAAGTGCTTCACATGGGGAGAAAAAATCCAAGAAAGTGGATGATTATTGAAATTAGAAGAAAATAATCTGTATGGAAAATGAAAAGGAGTTGTTCGGATCTGGAGTGCATTGTCTGAAAAGGTGGTGGAAGCCGATTCGATAAGCGAGAAGTAGATAATTATATGGGGAGGACAGTAGCAGTGAATAAGACTAACCAAGATACTGGGCTGTATTAAAAGGGCAATATTGAGACAAAATAGTGAGGCAATCCTGCCACTTTATAAATCATTGGTGCAACCGCACTTGGAATACTGTATGTAGTTCTGTTCACCACAATATAAAAAGGATATTGCAACAATTGAGAGGATACAGAGGAGAGCAACCAAAATGATTGAGAGGCTGTAGGGACTGGTCTATGATGAGGCAATTAAATAAACTGGGCATGTTCACACTGGAGAAGAGTAGGTTGAGAGGTGATATGATTATGGTCTTTAAGATTCTGAAGGGACTAGATAATGTAGACCATGATAAGCTGTCTTGTACTAAACAGTAGATCCAGAGGACATGGCCTGTGATTGAAGGAGGCAAATTCAAAGCAAATCTGTAGAGATACTACTTCATTGAGTGAGTAGTAAACTTCTAGAACAGGCTCCCTAGGAAGACGGTGGAAGCCCAAAGTGTTGTTTGTTTCAATATCAAATGAGATAGATTTCTGCTAGAAAATAATATCTCAGGATACAGTACATAGTTTGGGAGATGACATGTCAAGCAACTGCCAGGACAGTGGAAGGGGAACTAGATGGACCTTGGTCTTCTTTTGCCAGCAAATTATTATTTTCTTATGCAACAGAATTGCAACAAAAACTAACTTGTCAGCAGATAGCAGTACATTGATGGGACAGAGGCAATAGAACTATATGATAGCTGGAAACTTACCCAAGCTCAGAACAATGACAAAACAATTGTTGTGAAAGTCAATTCACTTTACAGTATATTCTGAGAAGCACTTTGAGACGTCTCAAAGGGCTTCACCGAATATACTGTAAAGTGTCTATTTTGTGGGCGAAACACGGCAACCAATTGTGCATATCAATGTCCCATAAACAATCGTGGATTGAGTGACCAA